GGGGGGGGGGGGGGGGGGGGGGGGGGGGGGGGGGGGGGGGGGGGGGGGGGGGGGGGGGGGGGGGGGGGGGGGGGGGGGGGGGGGGGGGGGGGGGGGGGGGGGGGGGGGGGGGGGGGGGGGGGGGGGGGGGGGGGGGGGGGGGGGGGGGGGGGGGGGGGGGGGGGGGGGGGGGGGGGGGGGGGGGGGGGGGGGGGGGGGGGGGGGGGGGGGGGGGGGGGGGGGGGGGGGGGGGGGGGGGGGGGGGGGGGGGGGGGGGGGGGGGGGGGGGGGGGGGGGGGGGGGGGGGGGGGGGGGGGGGGGGGGGGGGGGGGGGGGGGGGGGGGGGGGGGGGGGGGGGGGGGGGGGGGGGGGGGGGGGGGGGGGGGGGGGGGGGGGGGGGGGGGGGGGGGGGGGGGGGGGGGGGGGGGGGGGGGGGGGGGGGGGGGGGGGGGGGGGGGGGGGGGGGGGGGGGGGGGGGGGGGGGGGGGGGGGGGGGGGGGGGGGGGGGGGGGGGGGGGGGGGGGGGGGGGGGGGGGGGGGGGGGGGGGGGGGGGGGGGGGGGGGGGGGGGGGGGGGGGGGGGGGGGGGGGGGGGGGGGGGGGGGGGGGGGGGGGGGGGGGGGGGGGGGGGGGGGGGGGGGGGGGGGGGGGGGGGGGGGGGGGGGGGGGGGGGGGGGGGGGGGGGGGGGGGGGGGGGGGGGGGGGGGGGGGGGGGGGGGGGGGGGGGGGGGGGGGGGGGGGGGGGGGGGGGGGGGGGGGGGGGGGGGGGGGGGGGGGGGGGGGGGGGGGGGGGGGGGGGGGGGGGGGGGGGGGGGGGGGGGGGGGGGGGGGGGGGGGGGGGGGGGGGGGGGGGGGGGGGGGGGGGGGGGGGGGGGGGGGGGGGGGGGGGGGGGGGGGGGGGGGGGGGGGGGGGGGGGGGGGGGGGGGGGGGGGGGGGGGGGGGGGGGGGGGGGGGGGGGGGGGGGGGGGGGGGGGGGGGGGGGGGGGGGGGGGGGGGGGGGGGGGGGGGGGGGGGGGGGGGGGGGGGGGGGGGGGGGGGGGGGGGGGGGGGGGGGGGGGGGGGGGGGGGGGGGGGGGGGGGGGGGGGGGGGGGGGGGGGGGGGGGGGGGGGGGGGGGGGGGGGGGGGGGGGGGGGGGGGGGGGGGGGGGGGGGGGGGGGGGGGGGGGGGGGGGGGGGGGGGGGGGGGGGGGGGGGGGGGGGGGGGGGGGGGGGGGGGGGGGGGGGGGGGGGGGGGGGGGGGGGGGGGGGGGGGGGGGGGGGGGGGGGGGGGGGGGGGGGGGGGGGGGGGGGGGGGGGGGGGGGGGGGGGGGGGGGGGGGGGGGGGGGGGGGGGGGGGGGGGGGGGGGGGGGGGGGGGGGGGGGGGGGGGGGGGGGGGGGGGGGGGGGGGGGGGGGGGGGGGGGGGGGGGGGGGGGGGGGGGGGGGGGGGGGGGGGGGGGGGGGGGGGGGGGGGGGGGGGGGGGGGGGGGGGGGGGGGGGGGGGGGGGGGGGGGGGGGGGGGGGGGGGGGGGGGGGGGGGGGGGGGGGGGGGGGGGGGGGGGGGGGGGGGGGGGGGGGGGGGGGGGGGGGGGGGGGGGGGGGGGGGGGGGGGGGGGGGGGGGG